ACATGCTAGTTATCAATCGTGTTATGTTCTTAGCTTAAAATGACTAATCGATTTACCTGGATTGTTGATTGACAGGGTTAATGTTACTCATAAGAATCTGTCGAGTTCTTACTCGCCTATTCAAGTTAACTCTATGCCTATATGTCTATGGAATTAAGATTAAGAAGAATGCATTTACAATTCCTGTATTTCAACCAAGCAAGGCAATTGGGTATATGTCTATCCCAATTGCTAATCCGTTCCCCGAGGCCCGGGTTCAAGAACTTGCCCTATTTAATTCTATATGCAATCTAAAGTTCCCACTTTCGAGTTCAACTAAAGATTCGCAGATAATATTTTACTGTTAGCTACTCAGCAAAATAATTAAAAGCAGAATTAAATAAACAACCCAATATGATAAACCAACTTTGTCAAATTGAACTTCAAAGAACAACATTCATGTTTCACCTATGACCCTAGAACAATGGGTTTTAGCTACTCATGATAGTGTTCATCACAAATAGATTCAATTTCATCCCAAATAGTAAAAACCAAGAGAAAAAAAGAAGAACTTGATGGTCAAATCTCCTCCTTGTCTCTTGTCTCTCTATTTCTTGCACTAGACTATGAAAAACCTCCCCTCTCTTCCTTGGGAGAGCTTAACTTTATATAGGTTAAGTGAGTTTTCCTCCAGATTTCCAATTCTACCCCTAAATAACTCTTCCCGGATTTTGGACTAGCGCGACCGCGCACCTGGACGCGCATCTGGCCGTGCTAAAAGTAGTGCGGTCGCGCACCTGGGCGCACATGTCCAGTTCTGTGTTTCATCACTTCTGTTCCTCGTCTTCAAGCGTACTCAGCTCTGAGGGGTCTTTCTTGCTCCAAAATGGTTCCAATCACAACTGTTTAAGGCATCACCTAGGCTCCTTATCCTGCAATATATACAATTCACAATTAGAGATTATTTTTCATCAATTAACCATATTATGTTATTGGAATATAATTAAGTGGGAGCATAAACAATCGCCAAATTACCTAGATTTAACCTATTATCACAGATCATCTTTTCTCTAAGGTATTAGACTAGTAGACTAGATAGAAAATAGCAGCAGAAGAAAGAAGAAGAAGAAGAAGAAGAAGAAGAAGAAGAAGAAGAAGAAGAAGAAGAAGAAGAAGAAGAAAGAAGAAGAAGAAGAAGAAGAAGAAGAAGAAGAAAATGAATGAGGAGAAGGAGGAGGAGAAAGGGGGCTGAGATTATTTAAAAAGTGAGTACAAGTTAAAAGTTTTTAAAAAATGGGTATAGGTTAAATGAGGGCGACTAAATAGGACGCCCCGTGCAATTTTTACAATTTTAACTAAAACTAGCCCAAAATAAAATATCTACCAAAAATAGCCCAAATGTCATTTTGTAACACAAGTCTATTTTGCTAAAACACAAAGGCAGTTCAAACATTTTGAGACATTGGACTTGAGCAATATTGCAATGTTTTAATTCATTTAAGTTGAAATTCAGATAATCGAGCATCTTAATTCGATTTAGAAATCACTATTAAACGTTAGTTTATTGGATTGGATCGAAAGATTAAACTGAAAACTCCATGGACAACCATTGAAGTTTGCTTAAACTTGAATTCAAATTTTTGGTTTTTCGAAATTGAAATTTATTTTGAGTGGGTATTGTTGGAATAGATTGGGTACATCTTAAGAAATTTGAATCTCAGTTTTGGAATAATTTGGTGGAGTTTTAAGATGGTTTGAATTGAAAATTCGTAGTAAAAGATGAACATGAAAAAGATGATATGTGTATCACACAGTGTACCATTTGTGTATCACATACGTATCATATATGTATCAAATATGTATCACATTTATATCCATGTATATATGTTCCCAGATCCCACTAGTGGGATTTTACTAGGTTGTTGTTGTTGTTGTTGTTGTTGTTGTTGTTGTTGTATGTATATCCATGTATATATGTGTATGAGATACATGCATGATACACGTTTGATACATGTGTCACAGAAGAATTTTTTAACTCGATTTTAACTACGAATTTTGATACTTAACCAGTCCAAATCACTTCTAATATTGCTGAAATTTGTATATTGCCTCATCTATATGTTTTCTACAAATTACAACCATACCCATTTAAAAAAATTCTTTTCTATCTAATTTTTTTATATTGTATATTATTGATAATAAATTTTGACCCCAAACTAGTGGTATTTTTGGATCGATTCCATGTGAAGCTTATAGACTGCATTTTAGATTAGGATTTTACTTTGACTAGGTTTTAAATAATCTTTTTTTTTTAAAAATGCCGTTAAGGCCCAAACTACAGGATACTAATAACAAATTCAGAAGAAGAATAATGGAGAAAAAAAACCCCTTCAAATGCAAAACAATGGTCGGTAGTTTATGTGGCTAGTGACTGCACTGTATTCTCGTGCACATGTTCATAGCTTTTTAAGAACATTCTGGAGTAGTTTAAGTCAATGCCATCATGTGCATGCAACTATTATAGTATCTGTTCACAATGATTAAAATATGTAAAATTATTAGTTCCGTTTATAATTGTATCGTTCTATTTACAACATAACAACATAAAGAAAAAAAAAAAAGAAAAAAAAACTGTGATAGCGCTCATAGCTGGTGCAATCATACCAACTGAACTTAGTATGATCCATTTATTTTTAATTAGAAGTATCAAATTCAAAACTAAAAGTAAAAAATTCTTGTAAAAAGCGTTTTTATCGTTTTAGTAGGCCTATAAGATGCAAAGCCAGATTAATCATATCATTAAGGGCTTGTTTGATATAAGAGATAAGGAATAATTAATTTTGGGATTAAATTTGAAATGAATTTATCTCATGTTTGGTTGAGATAAAATCGTGATATAACTAATTCTGAGATTAGTTATCCCAAAGTTACAGTATTTTTTATCCCTATGAAAGGATAGAATAACTAATGCCAAGATAATTAATCTCGGAATAATTAATCATGGAATAACTTATTTCCCGACCAAACGATCCCTAAGTTTCATACTAGTACTAAATCAGATGGACATGGAGTCCACGTAGACTCAGCAGGACCCACTCAGAATCCACGCAAAACGGCGACAACGGAAGTTCGTTACTTACATCCGAAACTCTAAGCTTTTCCACAGCTCATCCTTAACCAATCATTTCAAATTTTTCAATCATATTAATTGTAACTAATATAACTTGCTAGAAACGGAGTGTTACTAAAAAACAATTAATCATATACTCTTCATAATTATCATAATTTTTCATTCCAGAATAATCCTCAAAGAAATAGAAAGACAAAACTGAGTTGTCAAATACAACGCATAAAAAGATTTGTTTCTTGTTTTTTCAAAGTTCTTGCCTTTAAGGCACTTCAACTTCCTTTCTCAATCCCCCATTTCTTTTTCTTCAGTTTTCTACTTTGAAATTCCAACCCCATAATAAATTCTTCAAATTTTTCTAAGGCGTTACATTTTCTGTGGTAAATAAAAGATTCTAATTTTTAAGATATGTCAGATCCAAACGATCAAAAGGCAACAGTTGGTGCACCAATACCAATTGCACCTCCGGCCGCCGGAGATACGGAGAACCAGACGCCGGCAGCCGGAACCGGTGTGGGACACATCATCAGGAAATGGAAAAGAGAAGATTTGCTGAAGAGGGGTTCTTTGGGTTTGCGTTGTATTGCTTTGCTTTTCTCATTACTTGCATTCATTATCATGGCAAGCAATAAACATGGTGATTGGAAAGATTTTGATAGATATGAAGAATATAGGTACAAATTACATTTTACACCATCATCATGGATTTTGTTTTTGTTCTTTTTTAATATTTATGATCTAGAAGTTTAATTAGATTTTGGTGTTCATGACCATCTCATCTAAAAACGTTAGACATAACACATCTTTATTTACTTAATTATGTCCTCACCACATCCCATTATGCGCGAGTTCCTTTTTCATGCTCTGGTACCATGTTGAACTGTATGACTATCTCATCTAAGTCACTAGATAAATCACATTTTTATTTACTTAATTATGTCCTCAACATTTTGAATCAAAATGTGGATAAGTGCAGGTATGTGCTAGCTATAGCAATTCTGTCCACATTGTATACAGGGTTGCAAGTAATGAGACAAGTGCATGAACTTTCAACTAGCAAGGAAGCCTTTTCGCGGCAGAATTTAGCTTTGCTAGAATTTTTTGGTGATCAGGTTTGTGATTTTTTCATAAAAATGCATAATTGGATTTCATTTAACTCTGTGAATGGTATATTGATTTGGGATTGTGATTGAATTGCAGTTGATGGCATACTTATTACTATCAGCTGCATCATCTGCTGTGCCACTGACAAATAAGATGAGAGAAAACAATGACAACATATTCACAGATTCTTCAGCTTCAGCAATTAGCATGGAGTTCATTGCATTTCTAGCTCTGGCAGTTTCCGCTATGATTGCTGGATATAAACTTTCAAACCAAACCTACATCTGATAAGATATCGAACATACTGTCTTATTGATTGTTTTTTGTGTCTCTAGAATTCCTTCATTTGTTATCAAAACCACCACATTCGACCCTTGTATATGTGCGTCAAAGCAAGAAAGACATTCACTGTTTGTCTTGAAACCTGTATGTAAGAAATCACAGTACAAATTCATTTGTTTATAAAGACTTTCGTTCATTAAACCAGTGCTCTTCTTGCATCTTGCTGTGTGGTGCTTTTGGTATATCAATTTGGTTGAAGTCTAAAAATTTCAAGAACTGAAATATCATATCAGATGGAGTCAATTTTGTTGTAGCAAATGTTAGATTTCAATGAAAAGACATGATTACCTACTGAATGACAAAGCTTAACTGATGTATTTAGCTACTGGTAGAGAAAGTGATGTTTTTAATGTACTTGTCTTCGAAGTCTAGAAAAGAATCTTGGTATGGTGGAAATATCTACTTGATTTATGGTTAAACAGAAATGAGAAATCTTGAGGCGCAAGGCTGAATGTTAACTTCTACACAATGAATATTCAAATTTCCATAAAAAATAAACAAATAAAATTCAACTTTCTACAATGATGTCACTGTCCTACCTTACTTTGACAGATTTATGTTATACAAATATCTTAATGGGGAATTACAGCTGCCAACCAATCTATAGCTAAGAAAATAAATTAAAAAATGGACTAACTCTTATTTGGAATCCTAAATCCTAACTAGGTATTATAGGCAAACACTATCATAAATTACATTGAATACAGTGAATTGAGATGGAAATCTGTATCTGTTGCAATCTGCTATGGAGAAATATCAGTTAAGGAAAGAGCTGAAGAAATCATCTTTAGGTTCTTCTTTGGTTATCGGCTTGATGTTGCTCATGGACTGCATTTGGTTCATGTAAGATCCCGACGAGGTATCAAATCCTGAATAACTTGAACTTCCAGAGCTCTGTAACATCTGCAGGGTGATGGGTGGTTGGTTCTGTGTTGTTTGTACCCTTGTGTTGAAAAATGTGTCGTTAAAATTCATTCCTTGGTTAGAGTTGTTAGCCAACATCGAAGGCCTTGGAACGACAGGCATGCTGTTGTTGCTGTTGCCTGATGGAGGTTTATTCATAGCGTAGCTTCCACTACCACGTGCTGCAGGAACATCATGGTTGTGTTTTCCTTCATAAGTTGTGATCACCGCCCTCAGATCATGAGAAGCTCGTTCCACGTGCTTCCTAACTGGACAGCCAGTAAATGTGCATTTGTAGTAGCTCCTGTAGAGATATAAGCAAATGACCAACATTAAGACTGACATTTTCATCACAAGTAATCAAAATTAGAAGCCATGAAATGAGAAGCTTTCCATGAATAAGAAAGGACAATGTGCGTTAGCTCGCTATTTATTCAAACTGCTGATTCAATTCTCTGCATATTAAGATGCAGTTATGAACAAAGAGCTAATGTTCATGGTATAGGGATTGCTCACCTTGGATTTGGATTGCCTTTTACAACTTTTTGTCCATATTTTCTCCATCTATAACCATCATCAAGAATATCAATGTCGCTTGTGGTTTGAACTACAATTCTAGGTTCTCTTACTGTTCTACTTGCAGATGATATGACCTCGTTTTCATTGTCACCCTTCCTGAAAGGACAATTACCATAACAGAACATCAGTTATCATATAAAGGACCAACAAAAGGGAAAACATTCGAGAGATTTTGTTTTAAGCTTACCATCTCTTTGCCTCAGGTTCATTTCCATCATCTTCTCCTGACTTGCTGACAGGAGACCCTTGATCAATGTCCTCGTCACCAAAAGAAGCCGAAGAATTGTCTGTCCCAGCAAAGGAATCTCTTTGAGCATTATCAAGAAACGCGTTTGGCTGATTTGTTATATCCAAGTTGGAGTAAGCAAGGTTTTGAATCGACTGTGAAGACGATCTTCTAGTGGACTGAGGCTTTGGATGATTATGGTTCCCCTTATAAACTATCTCAGTAATGTGTCCATCCAAATTCCTTTCAACCTTCTTCTTTGTAGGACAGTTAGGGAATGTGCACTTGTAATAGCTTCTCGGATTCTCGCTTCCTTTCACTTGCTTCTGCCCATATTTCCTCCAATTGTATCCATCTTCTGCTTTCTGTTCTCTAACATATTGAGATGGTTGAGTGTAATGTACTGGAGCTGGATTACTCTGCATCTTCTCCTGGGAGAAGCTTTGAATTGGAACCACTTCTGATTTCACCCCTGTAGTTTTTGCAGTGGAGAATTCATTTTGCTGGTTGGCATGTTGTTGCCTTGTCATTAAGTCTTCCTGTTTCATCCAATTAATATATCATAAAAACAAGTTTAGAGATTTCCAATGGAAAGGAAACTTAGAAAGAAAAGAAAACAATTTATGGTTGGTGATGTAAGACTTTAGTCATCTATATTTTATTGCAAATTGCAATCTTGCTTCCATGTCATGACCAGCAAAATGCACAAAATATTAAAAAAAGGGCAGTCCGGTGCACTAAGTTCCCGCTATGTGCGGGGTCCGGGGAAGGGCCAGATCACAAGGATCTCTTTCCAAAGAGATAGACATAATATGGATTCTATGTAATTGGATCATTGGAGGGAATATTGTTAGATGGTTCAACAATTAACTGCTATTTAACCTGATAAGCTGACATCTTTTAAAGTTTCAATGCTACACATATTTTGCAGAAGACAATAACAATAATTAAGCTCAATCCCTAGCAACTTGGAGCCGGCTATATGAATTTTCACTAATCATGTAGCTCCATTTAAGCTCATCTCATACCAATATTATGCATAAATAATGTAAACTCGAAAATTTCGGACAACTAAATATGATAGGAGAAGCCAAACAAAAAAAGGAAAAGAAATATACCAATGAGTTTCTTGGAGCAGAAGACTGAAACATTGATGATGAAGTAGCAGCCCTACTTTGGAAAGAGAAATCAGAAATCCTTGAGTCATCCTCCTTTGAATTCAAATTACCAAAACTCCCTGTAGTTGGAGATGGAAGAGTCTGCTGTAAACAATTCAAAATCAACAAAAAGGAAATTCTTGGTCAGACCAGTTACAAGATATTAATTTTGAAAAAAGTATAAACTTCAACAAAATGTAAATCATTTCAAGAAATTAGCAAAGAACTTACATTGGAATTGTTAAACAAAACTGGTGAGTCCAAAAGTACAGATGGACTTAAAGAAGGAGGAAAAGCAAGATAAGAAGAAGGAGAAGCTGGTGATGAAGATGAAATCATTGGCAAAGAACAAGGTGGAAATGACTTAAACTTTGGAACTTCATCTTTGTTTTGTTGATGCATTCTTTGATCACTGAACCCCCAATTCAATGAATTCTTTTCTTGGTTCATAGAACTGTTATTATTCCTCATATTATTATTATTATTATCATTATCAGAAAGAAGGTCACTAAAAGATGAAAAAGAATAGTTGCTAGTAAAAGAATTCATAAAAGTATTCATATTTCCACCTGAAGAAGCCATATAATTTTTTCAAGAAAATAAAAACAGGACAAGAAAGAATTCAAACTTTTTGAGAGGTTATTGGGTTCTGGTTTGAAAAAAATTTAAGAGGAGAAAAATGATGAGTGCTTAGATTTTATAAACAAAAATAGGTTGTGTCTGTTTGCTTATAAATTCTTGGCCTTAAGTTCTTTGAGGCTTCTTCTAGGAAGCTAAAAGGTGTTTTTGACCGTGGAATTTTTGGAATTTTTTTTTCTAAGTTTTTTTTCAATAGTCAAAGCTTGTGGCTTTGACCAATTCTTCGGCGGCTGAATCAGAAGGGAGCTGGGTATTAATCCTCTACGGTTGATAACACCGTACAGCAATCAGCAGCAACATGACATTGATCAAATTAAACAATTTAACTGAACTGTATATTTATATCAAATTAAGCAATTTAACTTTGAAAGTTATAAATTTAAGTAAAAATATCTATCGTTTAATTGTGATTAAGTGATAACACATATGTGAGAGATAGATATATGACATTTATGATTTGATGTAAACAAATCATATTATGCATACCTAATATAGTAATATCTCTATCCTTTAGCTAGCTGACAATTTTTGTTTATTCTACTTTTGTCAAATTTTCGTGTTGGTATTATTGTAACATTAGTGGAGCTCTAGTCCATGTGGTATACAATTTTTTATTTTTTTTATTTTTATTTTTTTAATTTTTTTTTTTTTTATTTTTTTTTTTTGTGTGTGTGGATCTTGAGACCATTTTCTTTGCAAATTAGTTTGAAAAGTTTTTATAGGGCATGTGAATTACTGTTAAATAGTATCAAATTATTCCTTATCTTACATTTGTCAGGGAACAACTCGGCCATGTAAAAGTCATTATTGGTAGTAAGTCCAGTATAAAAGATGAGTGGTATACTAGTATATATTGATTAATGTAAAAATAAACAAATTATGATAAAATGTTCTCTGAATGCTATACTTTTGTTAACGAGCGACTCTGCTAACTTGTTTTGTGAAATATTATCATTTTTCGCATCCATTTGCAATAGGTAATTGAAAATCTTATACTGTAAGTTTTCTACAATATTGATGACCAAATATTGCAACTTTTACCTAATATCTGAATTTCTAAAAGTTAAATTTACTATAAGGTGAGAGTGAGAAAAAAATTGTTCTTGTGAATAAATAAACTAAGAAGTACAACAAGCTCAATTTATATTACAATACCCTTTTCGGCCCTTTTTGGTTTGACTATATGAACAAGTTGATATATATCTTGGTTAATTATTTTATGAGTCGTGAGCATGTGTTGTTTTATAAAATGATTAAGGGTGACGTGCATACTCTTTACTCGTTAATTAGGACATTAAACCAGTAATTTTAGAGTTTGTTTATGAATTGTGAAATCTTAGTGAAGGATTTTTACAAAGCAATCAGCTATATAGCAACGGATCCAAAAATTTGAATTTATGGATTTAGAATTCTAGAAAAAAATATTTTACTGTGTTATGGATAGATTATTTTATCATATATGTAAATTTCTTAATGCACATATAAATTTTTAGAGAAGCTATTGGTTCTACCGAATCTGTAATTAGAACTCCATTCCATCTCTAATAGTAGGTGGACCAAGCAAGCCTTAAAGTGTGTTACTACTTGGTCAAAGTCATTTCTTAGAGTTCCAGTCCAAAGGTTGGATAAATATTTTTTAATAAGAAATAAATAAATGAAGAGCCTACAAAGAAGAAGGTATATATCTTCGATTACAATAAAAAAGATTAAAAAGATTATATAGATGATCCCTACTACTTGGAAATATATTTTAGAATTGTTAGAGAACTTCTTATGTATATATATATATATATNTTGTTTCTTTTTCTCTCTCTTCCTCACGCTTTTCTCAGAGACGAAGGTAACCGACCTCCATTGTTGGGTTCAAGTACTTTTTCGAGCTTTCACTCTTATTTTCAGATAATTTTCGTTTTATTTTATGCTTTTACCACCGTTTTGGTTTTGAATTTTGTTTTATTTTTATTTTTTTTGCTTTTTTGATTATGCTTATTTTCTTTACAATGTTATTGTATTTTTCGTTTGATTTTGTGTTCCTTCTATCTTCGTTCTGGGCTTAAAGTTAATTTTTCAGTTTGCATGCTTTGTTATTTCGACTTTTAGGGTAGAATTTTTTATTTTTTGATTTTTGTTACAATTTGGGAAAATTGGCCTATGCTTTGTGTTCATGGCCTTTATTTTTGGTTTGATTTTTGTGTTTTCTTTCACTTGTCTTCACTTTTGTTAAAGCTTTGTTTGTTTGTTTTATTATAGAAAATACGTTCAAAAATACCTGTTTCTAAAAGCAAAATGAAGGTTGCTGGAAAAGACGTTAAGTTCGATTATGCGAAAAGATTGAGGGACTTGCCCTCAAGCCTTGATTCTGAAGCTAATGTGCATGTCCAGGCTCCAAATGATGATGATTTTGAGTCTCCTGCTCCTCCTAAAAACTCGCAACAAGAGAGCAGTCGAATGACTCGTTCGCAAACGAGGAATACTCCCACTCCAGTTAAATCATCGAGGGACTTGCCCTCAACCCCTGCTCCAGTTAAATCATTGAGGGACTTGCCCTCAACCCTTACTTCTGAAGCGAATACGCATGTCCAGGCTCCCGATGATGATGATTTTGAGTCTCCTGCTCCTACAAAAAAGTTACAACAAGAGAGCAGTTGAATGACTTGTTCGCAAACGAGTAATACTCCTACTCCGGTTAACATCATTAGAATAAGGAGTAAGAAATATGGGAGACCTGAAAAATCAAAGAAAAGCTAAAAGTTGATTTGGTTAATGAAGATGATGTAGGCCCCAGTGTTAAACCGAAAAGGAGAAAGATCAAGGACAATGGTGACACTGGTCTTGATTGCATATCGAAAGAACAAAGGTTTGTTATTCGCTGCAAATTGAATGAGAGAAAAGCTAAACTGAAGGTATTCCCTGTGTTGCTATTAATTTTATACATGCTTATACAATTTCATACAAAGTTATACAACTGTTTATACATCTTTATACAAGTACTGCTATACTAATTTATACATGTTTATACAATGTTTTAGTATAGTTTTTGTTCCTAATCTATTTCTTGTTATTTTTTCATATGCAAAGTTGGGGACTTCTATATAAAACCAGTTGATCATTTCCACAACAGGATTAGTTCCCATACCGAGACTAATATTATGAGCATTTTGAAGCAATGTTTGACTGACACGCAGCTTCAAATATTCCGTGCTAGTTGTTTTGGGTACTTCTTGGACCTCCCTCAATTTAAAATTCAAAATCAACTTATTCATTGTATACTATTGAGAGAAGTCGTCCTAAGACGGGAAAGAGAGTTGTGGGTGAAAATTAATAGTTGTTTACTGTGTTTTGATATTGGAGAGTTTGCTGTTATCACTGGTTTGAAGTGTGTAGAAGACGATGCCACTTTCTGTGACAAACCAGATGTTAATAGGTTGCTAAAAGAGTATTTTCCAAGAGATGGAAAAAAGGCTATAACGAGGGGGCAACTTCTTGATCGCTTCAAGAAAAAGGACTGGAAGTCGGACGAAGATGCGTTCAAGATGGCCTTGATGGTGTTTGTCCATCATTTCATATTCCCAGATGCCAATAATCATGGTATAAACAAAGATGATTTTGATATCATTGAAAGTGGTCAATATCAGACGTATTCCCCGGGAAAAAAGTCATTTGAAGATATTTTAAAGACAATGAGGGACAAACAGTGTGACTATTTGATAATGTATAGGCTTGGAGGTTTGCCACTTGCATTACAAATATGGTTTTTGAGTGTTGCTCTATAGTTGATAAGCATCTAGCTGTTTGCGTTGGCACAAATGTGCCATGCATTCTTAATTGGAAAGTCACTAAAACTCCAACATATGCGGATTTGACTGGCGAGGTGATCATGTGTAGTATCGACAAGGTAAACATTTTGTACTATAATACTTCTTCATATATGATTTCAGTTTTTCTGTAAGTATGTATATTTATGAATATGTCACACTTTCCTTTTTTTACTATTGTAATCCAGTTTTTCTTCTTGTAGTTGAACTATAGGGAACATTTCCCCTACCCGTGAAGAGATGTCAACTCTGAACATCGACACGCTTTTTGAAGTTAATGCCGATGATGTTGCATCAGGGGAGGTGCCTACATTTCACACTGATGATTTTGTCGCTGCATCTCCACCTTGTCCTCAGAATATGGAGCAACAGTCTAAACGACCTTATCCTCAGAATACAGAGCAACAGTCTAAACGACCTTTTCCTCAGAATATGGATCGACAGCCTAACCCGAGTTATGGTCCTTTGGTGCACATTGATCTGTTAATGCTGAAGTTGAGAAGTTGAGGACTACTGTTGGAAAGGTACTGGAGCTTTATCTTTTCTGTAGTTTATAGGTACTTTTTGTATATACATGGTTTTTTGGTTATAAACTTGGTTGTTGATTTACTTTTGTTGTTTTTGTATATTTGTTGTTGTAGTTGACTGATACAGTTATGACACTCACCAATTATGTAGTTTCTTCCTTTGAAAAAGTGTTCAGTTTTCTGAATATGAAGGAAACCAAGCAAACAAGAGAGGATGTTACTGATTCTAAGATAATTGTTTTACTGATAAAACCAAATTAGTCAACAATTATGCCTTCTCTGAATCATCACTCAATATGTTTTCTCTTTCTGTTGTTTTTATTAGATTCGTCAGCGCGTGTCTAATGACAATACATCTGGTCTCGGCGAATTTGATGGCTATCAATATGATGTTGTTCCTGACTTTGTCGATCAAGTGAATCAAGATAACGTGCTAGCTGATGAGGGAGTTACTGATGGTGTTGATCATGGTATTCGTTCTGCATTTTATCTTTTTATGTCTGATTTTTCATTTCTTCATTTTGAAAGTTTTTTATTATTGGTTTTCTTTGTCTAAGGGGCAGCAGGTGATATCAAGGGTGACACATTTTGGGATGACATTGGCAATGAAGATTTAGCTGCACTACAAATGTCCCAAATTGTGCTTCACAAACCATCCATCATAGACGTAGAAGATGATTACATT